GCTCAGAGAGAAGCGGCTCCTCCTCGTCAGATGAACCAGCGCTGGAGGACTCCTCATCACTGTCGGCCAACACACTGAGGATCGGCCTGCAGCTGGGAGGATAAACAGGCAGGCAAGTTAGGTACTGACACAGGCATAATACAAGTATTCAAAAAACATTTCTGAGGCAATTCAGTGCTTGAAACACTCACTTATATCACCATGGATACAATCTCAAGTGTTAAAACATTGAGACATTAGATTTAGAATTAAATGCTTGGGACAATGGGACGATAGAATTAAATGATTTGATCTAATAGACCTGAATTTAATCAAAGCAAAACAAAGAACAAACTTTTTGAACTGAGAAAACATCGCATTTTATTGGCTCATTTTGAATTTGATGGCAGTAAAACATCTCAAAAAATGAGAAAAAAGACCATGTTTACCACTATGTAGCATCACCGCTTTCTTTTTTTTAACAACAGCCCATAAACATCTGGGAAATGAGGAGGTTTTTATTCTACCATGAAGCCATGCAATATGCGGTTTAGCATTTGTCTTGCAGAAATATGAAATATGCAAGGATGCAGGCTTTTGAACAGAGCACGGATATCAAGCTGGATCCTCCCTCTCCTCTTTAGTCCCGACTATGTGGCATCCATGTTTCCCAAAAAACATGGGGGTGACCGTGGCGCTGGGGGTTGGGACGCTCATCTGTAACCGGGAGGTTCGATAACCCAGCTCTCTCTGTCCTGGTCCTTGTGTCCTTGGGCAAGACACTTTACCCTACCGCCTACTGGTGTCGGCCAGAGGGGTTGATGGTGCGATATGGCAGCCTCGCTTCTGTCAGTCTGCCCCAGGGCAGCTGTGGCTACAACTGTGGTTTGCCTGCACCAGTGTTGTTATTGTTATTAAAAATAATTGAAAATTTTGATTAATCTGACCACAGAACAGTTTTTCAGTTTGCCTCGATCCAATTAAAATGACTTTGGTCCAGACTATATAGCAATGTTTCTGGATCATGTTCATATATGACATATTTACTGCACGACAGAGCTTTAACCTACATTTGTGGTTGATATGGTGAACTGTGTTCACAAACAGTGATTTCTGGGAGTGTTTCTGATCCCATGAAGTGAATCGTGACTGTTTTTAATGCAATGCTGCCTGAGGGACAAAGATCACAGCATCCAATACATGCAAACTGAATCCTTTCATGATATTATGTACTGTACAGGATGCGATAGTCAGTCCTTGCAATTTTGTGTTGAGGAACATTGTTTTGATAATTTGTACACACGTTTTTTTCCAGACTGGCGAACCTCTGCCTATCTTTACTTTTGAGGATCTGTGCATCTTTAAGATGTTCATTTTCTATCTAATCGTGTTACTGACCTGTTGCCAGTTACTCTAATTTGTTGCAAAATGTTCCTCCAGCTATTTCTTTTTAGTACCACTTCGTTTCGTTGCCCCCACCCCTGTTTGTGAGGTGTGTTCATGCCAACAAATGAAAAAAGAGCAAATATGTTTCTTAAAATATCCTGTTCTATTCTGATTAAAATGTCGCTTTCTGAGATTTGCGAATCATTCTGTTTCTATGTACACTTCACACAGCGTTCCAACTTTTCCAGAACTGGGGACGTACATGTGCAGGAGCCAATTTTGCATCTGCTATTAGTGAACATATCTGCAGCTTTGCTATCTTGACTTTTAGCTTCAGATGCAGCACAAAGATGGCTAATGTGAAGCTTTGCCTGGACTTTAATCCCTGTGGGTTTATGACAAGAAGGTCTAATCATTATAATGTGCGGCTCTGTAGATCAGAAAGCAGAAGGGATCAAGGGAGAGAGATGTGTAGGTGTGTGCGTGCGTGCAATAGAAAGGATTAGAATGAAAAACCCATGTTTACTGTTATTTTTTACATTGCTCGTGCTACTTGGGCAAGGCAACATGATGAAATATGCATTACAGATGATAAAAACACTATTAGCTTTTTTTAAAATAATAATACATGACAGAATTTAAAAATAGGAGGCAGCTCAGTAGGTAAGTCAGGATGTATCTGTCTTTGTGAATTTCACCCCCGCGGTGATTAGTGCATTAGAGATGAGGATGCAATTAATACACTGCTCTGTGGGGGTTACTGGAATATGAAAACAAAGTCAGTAAGGTAGCTAATTAAGGAGATTATCCACAGACATCACTGGCTATTACATTTTAAACAGCATCTTGTTTAAGAAAGTGTGTGATATGTAAGAATATATCTATAGATAGGTAACTCTATAAGATTACAGGGATGCGTCACGTGTCACAGTGCGAATGGACATGTGTGCAGCACTGACCGTGGGCTACCGGTTTCCGTCATACAGTGCACTGTCTCCTGACCGCCATCTTTACCCAGCTTGGACAGGTTGAACTTGGTCTGCAGGGTCATCTGCAGGTTACCGGTGTAAACCAGCTGAAGCTCCACCCACAGGCCTGCAGAGGGCACCCCAAACAGGTCAAAACTAGACCTCCAAAATTAAGACAAATGCTGCTAGAGACAGCCTAATCTGGACACACGCTGCTTAGTAGGCAGATTAAACAGCTTTCATTGAGATTATCGAGGCTTGGAATTAAATTCATAGTAAATTACGAGAGACTATTAATTCTCTTTAGGAGGTGAGTGGGGGGGGAAAAGTGGGGGAGGACAGAAAACAGCAAAAGCTGTTGACACACGGTTGCGTAACGGCGAAGGAGGCGGAGAAATCGAAAAAGGGGAAAGTCATGATGTCACACAGCTACATTCATGCTGATAAGCTTAAATTTCCCTCATCGTTAGGAGCAGCCAAACAGCCTGATTTCAAAACACACACACACACACATGCAAATATGCTCCAAATTGCAGAGTAATGGTTGCCCTGCCCCACAAGATTACGACAGGATAACCGTGTCTGATCTGATGCTGAGGTCGTCGCTTGCTGTGTTTGTGTATTTGTGTAAATCTCTTTGCATTTTGTGTTGCCCTTATGTTTTGCGGTGTTTAATCTCCTCTCTGCACTCACCTCTGGGGTTAACCTCTGGTCTGGAGGTAGCGGTGATTTGCGGCATTGAGCTGCCCATATCCAGCTCAGTCAGAGTCAGTTCATTCATAAAGTAAGGCAGCTGTAGAGAATATTGCATGATTTAAAATCACAGGGGGGCAAAAATGTGGGGAAATAAGGGTAAACCTTCCGAACCCGCAACCTTCAACAACGCCCCCAACCCAAATTTGCCGAAGTTCCTCCGAAACCTGGGGGAAAACGCCGCCGCCCAACCCCTCCCCCCCAAGAAAACCCAAAAAAACCCAACCAATAAAACCATAACCCAAGCAAGTTGGCCTTTCCCCGGGGAACCCGCCAAAACAAAAGGAAAACTAAAAAAATAAAGACAAGAAAAACACAAGTTTAGAGCAAATTAAAGGCTGTATAGTTTGTAATGGTAAAGCTTACATCTGTGCTGCTGGCTCCAGGACTACAGAGTGGGGTCAGCTCCTCTGTAACCAGGAGACGGGCCATATAACTGGGGTAGTCGAGCACAGAAAGGCCCCTGGTGCTACTGGAGGGCGCTCCGGAGATAATGGGGAATGGGGGTGTGGATGGGGCGTCCTCATCACTGCTGCCCACTCTGCTGGAGCCTCTGCTGCTCGGGACATTAACCTGTACACTGGTGCGCTGTGTTTGGTCACCTGGGAGAACACAGGATCATTTAATCATAGTTCTGACAAAAAGTAACTCTGATAATTTTTCAGAGCAAAGCGACCCACTTTAAAACCAGAAAATCTCATGCCCAATCATAAATCTTCTCTCTAATTAAAATATAAAATAAAGTGATTTATTTCTTGAAAACTGTATTCAAAAAACATAAACAACACAGACACGGATTTAAATGGCTAATTCTACCCAGTCAATGCGTGGCCGACCTGTCACTGGGACACAAACTTCAAAAAAAGAGCAGAGTAATATCACAAACTAAATATATGTACATACATATGCAACTATACATACGTGTGATACTCTCGGCCATGTTGCTATAACAACCCCATGCACATTAAGTTCTGGTTCTGGATTATAATGGAAAATGACCAGAACCAAGTTATGTCGAGCTGATTAGGTACTAGCGGAGAAGGGCTATTTGCAACTTGCAAGTTGTCTCATTTTCAGCAAGGGATAACTTGCAAGCTACTTTGGCTAGTTTCACAACATCCACCTTGGAAATCTTGAGTGAGAAATATTGTACTATGGGTTTTAATTTCTGAAAGATTTTTTTTATGGTGATCATATCATCGCTTATGTTGCAGTTCCTCATTAATCCTCTAATATATTTTCCACATGAACAGGGCAGCTGGAAGTCTGTTTTTGATGGACAGACTTGTAGATGATGGTATCTGAAAGAAAATTCTTTGCAAGCATATATGTTCAGTTTTTGAGGAACAATCTGTTGACCATGTAAACTCCACTGGAACCTGGCTGACCATTAGTTTCTAATCATATCTACAGTATGTAACGGACAGACATAGTTTTCAGGATGTGAAAGTGAAGCTAAAGTGGAAATACCTCAAACCTACAATCTTTTTAATGACCAACAAGGGGCGACTGTACATATAAGACAGCAGCGCTACTGCTTTATCCATGACTTCAATCACTAGTTTGAAGTCAGTATATCAATAATGTTCTCATTTAGAATAAAACATCATTTTGGGTGTAGTATCAACAATTTCTTAGTCGGGTCCACCCTTCCCCCCTAAACCAAAAAAATAGCCAAACTACTCAAGTTGCGCTTTCAAAACTGGAGTTCACAAAAAATAGTGTCTGTCCATCATTGATATACAGTCTGTGGTTTGAACCCTGAATCATCCTGTGGTGTGGGAGTATTGATGAACACTTTTCCGATATGTTCTTGTATTCTGTGATTCCCGAGTATATAGTAGGTGAGACCACTACGACAAAGCTAGGGGCAGTGTTGCCCCTGTACGACAGTGCATTTATGCTAAGCTATGCTAGTCATCTCCTAGCTTCAGGTTTTTACTAGAACAGTACAGGAGAGACAGCGCTAATAGTATTCTCAGCTCCTCAGACACAGGAATAATCATGCATAATTATTTCAACTATTACTCTATTTGAATTTACTAAAATGACCGTTTAGATTAAAAACCAGCCTTTCCCAAGAGCGCAGCATGACAGATACTTTTAGTGCCGCGGATTTTGGATGAATAAAGCTGCCAGTGGAAGAGTGAAGTGTAACAGAAGCATGATGAAATAACAGATTTGATTTAAGAATATTTGTAGTAAAACCGTTTCAAGTTTCCCCAAAACAAGGCTGGTCTCTGTTTTTTATTGCATGTTCGCTTGAAATGGATTGCCAGAGCACGTAATCCATATTCCACTCATATATTACAGATTCCTAACGTATTAACAATGTGTCATACCCTTTGTGCAGGAGACATATTTGCTCTGTCTGTTTCTCTCCTTTTCCCTTTCTGTGTCCATGGATGCAAACAGGAAATGATGGAACCACTCTTCTTTCTCTCTTCCCGTACGGCCGAAGAGGTAAAGAACGGTGGGAAGCTCATGGTCATATTTGGAGGATCTTGGTTTTGGACTGGCTGATTCGGCTCCGGACTCCGATCCTCGCCTCTCCTCTCGCCTTCCCCCCTCATCCTCCTGAGATTTTGCCCCCCTGGTTAGCTGGATGCAGATGGGATACTTTGGGTTCCACATCCTCTTCTGCGCCAACACAGATGGCAGCAGGAATACCTTTGGGAAAAGCAAGCAGAGTTCAATGGTGTTGAAGCAAAACTGTTAAACGGGGAACGTAAACAGTTTATTTTAATCTTGAGAGTTAATTTCAAAATCAAATATTTCAGTTCAGCCAGTGGGGCCTCAGATACAGTAAAATCTTTCACTTAACACTATTACTTAGCAAGTTCTCATACTTTGCTATTTGCCAGCTGATAGCAGCGTGACTTGACAAAGGTGGGCTCGTGGAATCTCTCGTCATACGTGGCCCTGCGGCTGATGTTCGATCGTGGCGTTTCCAGACGGAGACACGATCCCTCCAGGGTGGCAAACACAGAGTGAGTCAGACCTAGATGGCTGGTTTCTGGGTCGTAATCAAATATCTCATTCATCCAGCCCTGAAAAGAAAGAAAGTAAGAGGTGATTTAAAATCAACACTAGGGGTTTTTATGCACATTCAAGTGAGAAGTAAACACTTCATCTCGAATTGTTCCAGTCGTGAAAATCCTGATCTTTGTAATCAGACTGAGATGTGATGTGGAGAGCGAAAAGTAAAGGTGCATTTTAAACGCTTTATTTGTCAGCGAAGGTTTCAGTGAGAGCTGATGTCTCGGGACCAAACTAGGCAAATTATATTCAACTCTCTTGATTTTTAAAGATATGCTTTATCTTATTTCACCTTTACAAATACTCAATGTGCGATTGAAGTGCAGACTTCCAGATTTAATTTAAGGCAACAAACAAAAGTACCTCATTAACTGTTTGTGCACTCCACTTTAAAGTTCCAGTCAACTAACTGGTACATTACACACAGTAATTTAATAATTTAAAGCAGAGTCACCCTATGACCTCTGAGACTGCCTCACAAACCTCCCCAGCTTTCACGTTTTAATTGCTTTCAAACGGATACCCAACTGCTAATGGCCAAAAAAGGGAATTAGCTCAATAGCGAGACAGCAAACATTGTTTTCCACTCTTCTCCATCCCTAGTCTGCCGAGCTTCCTGACAAATTACAGCTTATTCCTGTCTGTATTTCCCACTAATTGCCTCTGGAGCTGACAGTGTCTGGGTGGTGTAGTCCTCCCCGGTTGCCCCGTGTCAAGCTAAGCCAGGAGCAGAACAGCAATTATCACTGCGGCTCCAGCACTTTTCATTATTGACGGTTTTAAATTGTGTTCCAGGATCCTCGTGTACAGTAGTAGCACGTCACATTCAGAAGCTTTAATCTGAGAACAAAACAGTTAGACCTGCTGAAGCGACTCGCCAGCATGACATTGTTATTTTGGACCAAGTGAGCAGCAGGGAAGACTAATAACAACTACTTGGCATACTCTGGGTGCTGAAGTTTACTTGGAGGAACTTTTTAACAAGCTTTTTAAAGTGAATTCAGAAATTAGTCCATTTTCGTTCGTATAAGAGGTAAACATTTTGAAATAGCCATAATCCCACTGTGACCATACTGAGGTACATGTTTCCATCCATCTGCTTCATGTGAACATTTTAGACAAAACTGAAGTTTGTTTACAGAGTAGGAACATGCCAACATGAAAAAACTTTGTGCACTACAATATGAACCTGTTTCAGCTCTCTGTGCACAGGAGGGTCAAAAATCAGAATTTGTTCTGAGACTATTAATGCCCTATTTTGCAGTAACTCTTGATCCCATCTCCACATAATATTTATATAACAGTATTTGTTCAATTCATTCTTTTGAACACTTATCAAATTCAAGGTCACAGGCAGGCAAAACATGTCAAAGCTGGATAGAAATGACTTTACACCCAAGAGAGATTGCCACTCCATCACAGTGTTGACACACAGAGACTCACGTCCACACTAATATGTTTTCATTTTAAAACGCATCTTTTTCTCTCCGTTTTGGCCTTCCATCCACACTGAGATGCTGTTTTTGGTCAAGGAAAACGGAGTATTTTGAAAACGCTCTCCAAAGCGGATCCATTTAAAAACTCAGTTTTTGCGTCGCAGTGTGGACAGCGAACTCAGAGCCTTTTCGTAAATGACACATTTTAGTCATGTGACGCAGTCATGTGACCAATTAACCTAAGATAGCGGAGGGCATTACACAGCAGTTGTTTTGTTTGCTCTCAATTTTGACAGCCCTATTAAAGATTAATATCAGTCTGAACATGTTCCACATAGCTTTTCTTCAAATTCTTTAATTCTCACTCGCTTTTGCAACTTTGTACTTTGGTTGCTCGCAGCAACAACTCCACCTCATTGTTAGTTCATTTAAAAAACTTTTCCTCGACATTTTGCCACAACGTTTCAAAGAGCCAGAAAGTAAATAAACGGCAGACAGAAATGACGCAGGTCAAATCGTCTTGCATTTCACGCATGCGCAGTACTGGAACGTTTTCAGCCATTTCAATGTGGACACACAACTCTGTGAAAATGAATGAAAACGATAGTGTGGACGCAGAGCGTTTTTAGACGTATACGCCGTTTTCAAATTTATCCGGGCTAGTGTAGACGTAGCCCCACAAACTCTCACATTCACACCTATGGCCAATTTAAACCTCTGAGAGCAAAGCTTTCAGCAGCAGTACCGAACCCTAACCTTAACTCTACCTATGTAATTAGAATAGTTTTTGGGTTGCTTTTAAAAAAAATCTGTGTCTTGACAGTTAAGGAACAAACAAAGAAAACGACCATCCTGACACAAATTAAAAACTACTTCCCTTTTAAAAAACGTTTGACTATCTCAAAAACAGAGTTAGGTTAAGTTGAGAGTCAGAACTAGAGTTATTACCTACAGTAACTTATAATTCAGAGATTTAAAATCTCTAGTCGATGTAACATGCATATCTGAGCCTGAAAAATAACCCATACCAGGGAAGGCGGGACAGACAGAAAGGCCGCAGATGACTAAGAGCTTCAATCCAAGAACTTTCTTGCTAATAAGTGCAGAAAATGGAAAAGCCAATGTACAGTATATATACATTTGCTTTTGCCAGTTTTCAAACATTTGGTGGAAAATTGTTCAGTTTAACAGCCTCTGAATCAAAATAGAGCCAGTTGAGCTCATAGTATAAAGACTATAAACAGGTGCAATGTGGGGTATATGTAAAGATCACTGATTGATGAACAAAAATGTAAAATAAATCCTCAAAATTTTCATCCAGGACTACTTAGTTCTCCCTTTTGCCAGCCTTTTTCTAACACTTCAACTGGCCGTCGGGTCTAGTCTCATTTTTAACCCCGTTCCCTGTGAGTTGGAGAATGAGGAAAACAAAGAAATTCAATTCTGTATCTGTTGAGCATTATGGCACCTTCAAGTGCCATAATGCACTTGATTCCCAGGCATTTTTATGACAAACTAAAAATGTGTGAGTACTGGAGCTGAACAGAGGTGTCTGAAAATAAAAGTGACATTTTCATCGTTGATGACTCATCCATTTACCTTGAGTGTGTCAGGCTCAGTGCTTACAATGCCACCTGTCAGAATCCCTTCTCCCAACAGCGTCTGTGGCGGTCTATAGGTATGGACTGAGTTGCTAGACCTGGAGGAACCCATCCGAATGAGCCAAAGCCCTAGCAAGAAGCCCAGTGCTAATCCCAGAGCCAGGCCAGAGAAGTATGGACTGAGAGGTAGGATAAAGTAGCCGTATGAAAGCACTGCCACACAAAATAAACTCATTCGTGGCAGAGGGTGAGGGGGCTGTGGAACGGGAGAGGTCGTGGGTGCTGTTAGAGCCTGAGAACCAGGCAACCTCCTCGCCTGCTTATGAGTTTCGATGGCAAACACTTGCATCATATCACCATCTGTACATATTTCCAGCTCCTCATCCCTGTGTTGCTGCACGTGGTGATGCACCGGGCAGGGGCAGTGCTGAGTTCTCCCGAGATGTCTTACAGAAGGCCACTCAAAGACAGAAAAAACATCAGCATCTGTTTTCCTGGCGCTTCTCACAGGAGACTCGGACAGAACAGTGTCTGTGCTACTTTCCCGCCCCAAACCTCTGGAGCTGATCTGGTGAGTTCCCTGGTTCTTACACTGGTGTTTGGGGCTGCCTGAGCTTTCTTCCCTCCTGATCTTACTGAACATGCTGCTCAAAGGTTCGTGCACAACCTCAGTGAGCTTCCTCTTGGTGTCCTCCAGTTCCATTTTGAAGAAACCACCTTTCAGGCTGTCTCCGCTTGGGGAAAGCGAACTAGGAGATGGGGGAGCAGTCCGAGAGTCCCCATTGCTGCGGGTTTTCGGTTGTGTCAGCTGCTTCCACAGGTGGAGGTTAAGTCGGGAGTCTGATTTGGACTGCGACACCTCGGGTTCCGAGCGGGAAAGCTCTGTGGAGATTGACTTGACGAGGCTGAGAAAAGGTCTGGGTTTGAGGGTGGAGCTCTCTTTCAGATCCAGCTCTGTGGACAGAGACTTGACCAGGCTCGCTAAGGGTCGGTGGGTGGGTGAGGGCGAGCCAGGCAAGAGGAAGCTTGGGCCCAGAGAACCAGAGCAGTTCCCCAGGGAACCTGGCGTTGAGGGAGACAGAGGGACATGGAACTCTTCGGACTTCACCCCTCTGTCATCCGCGACAGAAAAATGTTTCTCCTTTGATAGCGATATAGCAGGGTAGTCCTCATCATGCTCAAGGGAGAAGATGAACTCACTCTCATCCAGGCTGTCCCACTCTCCTTCAGTTCCTGTTAGCTGGATCACAATCCCTCGGGGGAGATGCCTCTTTGTCCCGAGGGAGGTGGCACCCACTGAGGAGAGACCGTGGGGTTCCTCGGGAGATCTGCCACCTGCTCCACCTTTGTCCTCGCTTCCTCTCTCTCCATTTTTACCACCTTCTGCCATTTCTTGACTTTACATTTCCAGGCCGAGGCACTTATGTGTCACTGAAAAAGAATAAAAAAAGACACGGTCAGCTACATCACTAAGCCTCAAGGGCAGAACAAATGAAAGCAGTCAGGGTCTGAGCTGTAGAGAATGAGGAAGGGCATCTTTTCTGTGCTAGTGCGTAATTTCCAAAGAAACTGCTTACTGATGCCAACTGCGCATTAATGCGTGAATGCCGCTTAGTTGAGCTCTGAAGAGCTGTGGAAACCTACATTAATCTGAAGACCAGTGAGCCTGAATCACAGCCAAGTAAGCATGTCTCCCATAGCTGTCGCTCCACATACTGAAGGTTTTTTAGAAGCATGCAAAAATAGACAAGACAGACTTTCTTCCCCAAATGTTGCACAAACTAGGGCAACTCAGGCTTGGATCTATATGCTTTTTGGCCCTGATATGAATGCATTTATGGAAACAGAAAAATCTGTGCATGATAGTAAAAAAGGGGTAATTTAAATATTTTAAGATCCCTTTAAAGCAGAAACAAACATAAAAAAGCTCCACTCATTCTGTGAAGCAGTATTCAGAATGTAATCTCTCTCCAGCGTCACCCTCCAAAGAGCCTACTGTCAGCCACTGAAACTGAGCCACAACGCTCCCTGTGATGTCTTCTCAAGCTGCTTTGAAAGTTACTTATGCAACCCTGAGATGAATAGTGAGGGGGGATGTTTTCTGTCGTTCACCCCCCACCTCCATCCCCGCATATGGCCTTTGTGTGTCGCAACAGCATTGCGCTTTTTCACATAACACGGCCACCACCAACAAACTTGTAAAATGATACAAGTAAAAACCAACATTGGAGAGACGCATTAGATCAGCTCTGATTTAGTGAATGAAAAAAGCAGTTCTGTGTCCCAAAACACAAGTTGGAAACCAGCATAAAGGCCCAGTGGGAGCCCTTTTATTTGCAGTCTCTTGAGGTCAAGTGCCCTGCAAGTTGAACCCTACCTCTTACTGTTCAGATTTACGTAACTGTATTAGGGCACTGTGTGGCACAGTTTCACCCACTTCCCCAGCAGCTGGTGGATTCTGACTAATCTGCTCTTGCCCAAAATGGACGGAGGGGAGATAAACTAACACACACAGATGTGTTGAGGCGGCTTTACTCCTTCCTCACAACCTTTATCGGGATGGAAAGAGGGACCAGAAGCTGCAAGGTGCTAAATGCACTCACACATTAAACAACTGTTAAGCTAATAATGTTTTGTCCAAGCTGACTGTTGTCTTATCATCATGTGAGTTAGGAAACTGCTGTGGACTCCAGATGCTGCTGTAGTTCTAATCCAGATGTTTTTATAACAATCACGGCAGCTATAAGTCGGCTTTATGCATAAACTCATCATAAAAGGGTATGAACCATTGGGGCATATAAGATTATTGTATTGGTCAAATAGCATAACACAAAATCCACAGTGGAGAGGGCTGTAAGCTAAAACATGTGCAGGTCTTCTATATGTCTCAAATAAGACAGAGAGAAAATAAAACTGTACAGAAATTGCTGTTAAACACCTTAATTACACAGGATTCATGTGGAAGTGTTGCTTCAGTGATTGGCTATAGTTGTTCCTGTCACTTGGGGGGACATGTCTGCTGGTGGGAACCTGATAACAACTAGAACCAATCATTACAAGCCAAGATAACCAAGCTTCGCTTGGAAGGTAGCATTAGCCGAGCATTAGCCCATTAGCGAGCTGGCTATTGCTAACTTGGTGCATATACAACAGGCTGCTTATTCACAGAGTGATCAGTTTCCTACATTTTGAAGTACATCTTACACAATGTCCACGCCGTTCTCTAAGGACGTTTGCATAACGTGATTTCATTCGCTGACTGCCATGCTGGAGCATGACAGTTAGCGAATGAAATGAATGTGACTTGACTGGCTGATGTCAGTGCTGGTGCTTCAGAAGTTAAATTTATCTCAGCTTTCAGCACTAGCATGGACAGGTTAAAAATTGATATAGCTTTCAAGTCAGAAAAATGAAGCCAGTGTCGTAAAAAAAGGATTCTAAATGAAGGACCCCAGATGGCGATAGCTGTGGTTAAGGCTGTTCGATATAACGATATATATCGGATGACGATATAAAAACGTCATTTCATTTTGCGCTATCGTTTGTTTCGTGGTGTCGCAAAATAAACTGTTTACGGCAATATTTTTCATCGTTTTGATGGTCACTGTAGCGGCTATATTAATTTCTTAAAGTTCTCTCTTTCTCTTATATTTAATATAACCACACTACGGGCGGACAAGCGCCTGTTTTTAATGGGTTGTCGTTAGCAACAACGACAGTAAAACCATCGCATGTCCGCTTGTTTATTTTCCACATAAACCTTTCACAATAAAGCTCAAGATCCTGTTGAGACTTTTCAAAATAAACGGAATCACTTGAAAGAGGATGCAGCGTATTGATGGATGAGAAGCAAAAAAAGAGCCGCCAGGTGCTAAAAAATAAACCTTAGACTCAAACGTTAGAACAGGCTTTTCCCCGCAGCACGCCATGTAATAAATACTCAAAGAAAACAGCGGCCGTTACAACTTATGTCTAAAGATGTATAGTTTCATACATCGGTTAAAACACTCGACTCCAGGTACACGACGCCCAGCTGGAAACACTTCAATTACCCGAGATTCACAGAATTTACAGAAAATATAAAATTTTTTGTGATTTATATCGTTATCGGGACGATAGATGTTTTATATCGGGATATGAGATTTTGGTCATATCGCACAGCCCTAGCTGTGGTTGCAAAAAGACTTCCAGGGCTATTTATAGAAAACAACTTTCTGTCTTGACCTCTAAAGACATTCAGTTGGTCAGTCATTTTTTTCAGTAACTCATTTTGGAAGAAGTTACATGCTCCAATTTGTCACTGTATTGATATATAACTGGGCTCTAGACTAACTTTTTGCCACGGTTGCACTGGTGCACCTAACTTTTTTTCTTAGGCGCACCAGCACAAATGTTAGGTGTAAATGATTAACTAACAATCTTGTGCTTGTGCTTAAAGTGCTTTGGCACTCTTTGGCAATATTTTAGACAATGTTACATTTAATCATCACATCGGCCTCTCCTGACGACCTGTTTGCTGCTACCTGCTGCTGAAAGGCCGTGGGGAGAGGGGACACTTGGGCAGCGCATTTACCACGACATATAATGTGTTTTCTGGATACACTGTGCTTTTTCAGCGTTCAAAGATTGATGGCTCTGTGTCAGAGCACTGCCTATGAATTTCAGACAGATCAGGCCTTAACTTAACAAAAAAGTTATCAATCGTTCTTTTCAATAGAATCAATAGTTTCTTTTCAGGCAGTGAATTTCGGTTGGAGAGACACAAAACCTGCAGCTCAGAATCTAGCGCAAAAAAGACGTAAAGACAGCGCAGACCCGACGCATCAGAATCAGTGAGCTGTCGGCTTTCAGCCCCAACGGCGTGTCAGTCTACGTGCCGTCAGGTGAGAAAGCTGAGAAAGAGAAAGCTGATTTTGATGCGTCGGGTCCGCTCTGTGTGTCTTTGTGCGGAATCCGTGTACCTGCTCTCATTTACTGTTTGGTGGTTGTTGAAATAGTTTTGTGAGCTTTAACCTGAGATTCTGGGGTTCCTGGCAAAATACATTTATATTTAAAAGTCGATTCAGGATTTAATGAATCGATATCGCTTTATTCAAGCTCACCTCTCTAAATCCACCTGCACTTTTAACTGGACCACGGCCAATCAGAGTGGTCCCGCCCCCGACTATCTCTGATTGGTTTAGACCACGATAGGGGCATAATGTGTGTCTGCTGTTGACCACACAGAGACTTTCAGAATTGCAGAGACTTTTTTTTGTTACTCGAACAGTTGGTCACACCGGTGCGACCTAAGATTGTTTTTTAGTCGCACCATTGAAAAATTTGGTCACATTTGCGACCAAATTGGTTGCACTCTAGAGCCCCGTATAACAAAATTTAGAGCCAAAATGAGCCAAATGTCTTTTTATGACATTTGGATAAAAGATACATTTGGGCGTTTGGATAAAAGCTTTTCTTCAGTCTAGAGGGAGGATGTGTAATGCCTTCCAGAGGGCAACCATGTAAGAAAATGAGAAGCATCGTTGATGATGTCTTTGACCTAATGTACATATGCTCAACTGAAAATAGCTGAGTGTTGATGGCCATCTGTGGTGATTTATTCAATTTCAATTCAATTCAATTTTATTTATATAATGCCAAATCACAACAAAAGTGGCCTCAAGGCACTTCATAGATATTATGATCATAGATTTATTAACTCTCTCAGAAGCCTTTTTGTTTGTATGCCTGCTGCGCTGATGCTAACAGTTTTAACTGTTTTGACAGATTAGCTTTCCTCAGTGTCTCAATTAGCGCCACGTCTGCGCCTTCGTTACCAGACTGGTGGTGTTTATAATTCATGTGAGGTTCTGGAACATGTGTGCTAAAAAAATTAAAGTTGAATCATCTCCAAACAGTTTCTCCACCTATGTTTAATGGAACAGGTTCCTAGAATAGAACAGAATAGAATTCAACTTTGTCATTGCACATGTCATAAGTACAAGGCAACGAAATGCAGTTTGTATCCATCCAGAAAGCGCTTTAGTAATAATATAGGTATATTACAAGATATGGATCTATTATAGGTATGTTACAGTGTACATGGTGTGAAGCTATGTTATGAATATGCTATAACTATAAGTATGTATAGGCTGCAGTCAGTGTACAAGCTATGTACAGGCTATGAACAGGATATAAATATGGTTAAAAATATGAAACTATACAGATTGTAGATATACAATTGTAAGTATTAATAAACAGTTGTAAACAGACCAGAACAGAACTATAATTATTGTATTGTACAGAATGATTGTCTATACAGAAATAGTTCTGTATAGGTTCCTATTTCTGTCACCTGAAGCTAGTGATCAGTTCTTTTGCTTTGGAGGTATTGAATGCCAGGTTATTGATGAAGCCCCACTCTGATAGTTTGCAGAGTTCATTCCTGTTGGCAGAATTGTTATCATTATATATTAATCCAATGACATTGGTACCATGTCCAGTCTTGATGACTAAGTTGGTGCTGGGGTGGATGTGCAGTAGTAGGTGTACAGGGAGTAGCAAAGTGGGCTTAGCACGCAGCCCCGGAAGAGTGTCAGAGTGGGGAATTCCCAACTCTGTGGTCCATTTGTTAAGAAATCCTTGACCCATCTGCATGCGTGCTCACTGTCACCAGTGTGCTGGGCATGGCTGCGACTTTAAAACAGGGCTTCGGAAACCAATGGGCGACATCACAGTACCTATGTCCATGTTTTATATGGCTTATGATCCACATGTACAACTAACTACATGTTTGTTTAACTTACACTACTATCTTACTGTATGTTTACATGCTAACTTGCAAAAAAACAGTTTCTGAGGTTATTCCTTCTGTACCAAAATGCAGACCAACTGATAAATAACAAGTGTGGCTCAGAACTTGATCCCTGATGTGTTTTTGAGAAGAAAATTAGACACAAAGTCTAATGTTTCAGAAACATTTACACAAATATCAAGATCCCTATATGATGTGTTTGTGTGATCTCTGGGGATTCCCCTGACTTTGTCCTTTTTGTCCACTTAGTTAACTGTGCATTTGGAGTATTCATCTGCGGCTGTCAGGGGTTGCTGAGTGGATGTGGAGAAAAGGACTCAAACGCAGGACTCACGGTGAAGATGCAGGGTGTTTATTGTGAGGGACGAATGACGAAAACAGGAGATGGCTGACTGACTGAATAACTGAATGAACGGCTGACTGATCTGAACTTGGAAGGCAAACATGGGGCATAGACAGCAGTGACAACATTAATGACGCGACGCCGACCAGGAGAGAACTGAGGACTTAAATACACCGGCTGAACAATGACTGATAGGTGACAGGTGAGTGAGCAGCTGAACACAATTGAACTAACGATGCATGGAATAAATGGTAAAATGGTAAATGGCCTGTATTTATATAGCGCTTTACTAGTCCCTAAGGACCCCAAAGCGCTTTACACAACCAGTCATCCACCCATTCACACACACATTCACACACTGGTGATGGTAAGCTACATTGTAGCCACAGCCACCCTGGGGCGCACTGACAGAGAACTAGAACATAATGCACACAGAGTAACGTAACACAAAACAGGAAGTGGAACGTACAGAGGATAAACAGTGAACATGAACTGAAAATACTGGTCAACAACCCAGAAACCCTGACAGTGGCAGCCCCGTTGGGCATTGAAAACTGTGTGAAACAAGGGCAAGAAAAAAGTAATAATTTGGTGTCTCAACATTACTACTCCTAAAGCCTTTCATTTGTATTTGTGATTCCAGAAACTCATTTCAGTTTCTTAACCGGCAACATGAAAAGTTCAACCACAAGCTCACTTGTCAAACAATTAGGCCATAACAGATCTTAACATGCAATCCAAGCATTCAAATGACAGGGTGTCTTTCACTCACTTTCTCTGTATGTGAGTGTAGAGGTTTGTGTGTTTGTGTGCTGCGCCAATCAGACACAAACAGTAACAATCTCAGATTAACATTAATGCAGGGCTTTACTGTGAAATCTGACAAATCACAGAGCCGGATTATGGGCTAGACCAACATTTGCTGGAGTGTGTTTCCAAGCTAGCTCATCTCAGCTGACCCAATGTTGATTGTAGTTATTAGTACCAGTGCAATACTTTAGAGTCCCTTAGCTATGAGTCATCTTCCTGGGCTTAAAGTGAAAGCCAGATGATTGACAAATAAAAAATTGCAGGAATCATATCCAGACTGAGGACTTATGGGAGATTCTGCTCTTACATGAACCTGAGATGGAGGCCGGTGGAGACCACAAACAATATAAAGATACCCTGAGATTTTTTTTCTTTTCACATGAAAAGTCGAAGAATGTCAGTCCCTGTTAGATTAAATATTACAAGTAACAACTGACTTCTTGCAGCAGTTTAAAAGCAACTTCAACCTCACTAATAATAAAGTTATGAGTTTGAAAATGACACTCAGGGCTCCTCCCACGACGTTCAAACAATAAATGTAATAAACGATACATCAATCATTCAATCAATAATAAGAACAGCGATCAGGTGAATCCTTTTTGCACCAACATATGTGATAGGTATGAAAGAAAATATAAAATATTATTGGCTGACTTTACAGCCAAATCCAAGAACAGTTGTCTCATATAAACTATTAAAGCACAGAGTGCAGCTTTGGAACAGCGCATACAGACCGTGTAGCAGTAAAATCTTCACTTTTGCATCCCTCCCTGCATGCACAAGACGAGCGTGAAAGGAAATCACGGCGGGAGAGGTGGAAGACGATGGCGAGTGCGCACAATTAGCTAAAAGAGCAGACACGTCTCCTCCGCTTATGATGTTTGGAAAATAAAATAAAATAAAATAAAAGGAAGATAAAAATGTGTTTAGGGGGCGTTTACTTACCCCGGGAAATTGTATATGTGCGGAAAATAGTTAAACCGGTTCGTTAGTTTTGTCTTCCTCCGGGTTCCTCTCCATTTGTGCGCGAGAGGACTGCGAAATGCGAAAGTGTCGCTCTTCTGTTCGTCTGCCTGCCCTCCCAATTCTCTTTCTCCCGTCTTCGCACGCGCGCACACCTTCCCTCCGCCCGTTTCCAGATGTGTCACGCGCTGCTGAGAATCACAGCTCAACAGCCTGATTATGAAAAGCGTGGCCGCGCGGCATGGTAATCCAGATTAACCACAGAGTTCTGCGGTCCTAACAGACACTCGCACAAACTCACCCACGCACACACGCACGCTGGCACAGTGTGTGTCTAGTAATCGTCTAATTGTATCCTACACACCACAGGGTGACAGCTGAAGTACACCCTGAGGGTTGAATACCGTTACACAGCCTACTGCATTAAATTCCGTTACTCGTCTTATCGATCAAAAGTACCATAATCAGCAGAACACACTGATACTGGAATGTGCGATTTTTAAAAAGAGTATGTTTAGCTTGAGTGAAATGCCAGAGAAGACTTTTATGAGATGCTAAAAAGGAAAGAATAAATACGGCTCCCTTCTTCTGTGCAGTTTGGCCTACATAAAACACAATATGAGCCCTAGAAATGACAACGTGAGGAATGGGGCAGACTGGCCTGCAGGCTGCAGCTGGGGTAAGAGACAGTAACCCCCATCCATCACTGCCTGGAGGAGGAGACTCAGTGAAGAGCTACAGCCTGTGTACAGTTTGGTCATTTTCATGGTTCTGTTTTACTTTAACTCTGCTCTGTTGGTATTATGGCGTTACACGTTTTGTTTAACTTGTTGGTGTTAACATATGAGCAGTGAGTGGAGTCATGGAACCAGAGGGTCCTTAAATAGTCCTGAAAGGGTTTGTTTTTGCTCCTGTGAGAACTTAAAAGATTCCTTGAATTAAATATATGTCCTTAGTCACTGTCATTTTTCTGGTGCGCTTGTCATTGCTGCAGCACATTCAGTTTGCAGAGGTTGTCCAGCTCCTCCAGGATGGCACATCTATGCATTTCATTGCAAGAACGTTTGCTGTAGCTCTCAGCACAGTCTCGAGAGCGTGGAGGAGATTCCAGGAGATGGGTGATTACACAAAGGTGAGGTGAAGGCTGTTAGAAGGGCTTCAACCCAGCTGCAGGACTGGGATTGGCTTCTTTGTGCGAGGAAGAAGAGGAGGAGCACTGCCAGAGCCTTACAGAGTAACCTCCAATGGTCTACTTGTGCATGTTTCTGACCAAACTGGCACGAGGTCCTGATATCCTTTATTAGGACCTGTGATCACACCACAGTGCTGTGCAGCTCCATTGGCATCTGCATGTGAACAAAAGAAGTAACTACTCCTCAGACTTTCTGTCAGACCATAAATTGGTGTTTTTTTATTGCACTGTGAAGCTTGAGCATTAGTTCTCTTTAGCAGTGTCATTTTCTAAAGACTCTCTAATGGCCACTTGAGCTTTCAAACACAGAGTGAAAGCAGCATGCTAGATCAGCGTCTCCAGCAGGAGGCACAGGACTGAAAGCGGGTCACCAACTTGGCAGCTGGCACAGCATATAATTACTGTACTGTAGATGTTAGACCCCCCAAAGTAGAACACTATGAAGTGCATTGGGTCAAAAATAAAAAGCTTCATAATAAGTGTATTTACGAAGTGTGCAGATTTTGTGACATTTTCAAACACAGACCAGGTGGAAGCTTGCCTCAAAGTAAATCTAATCATGCAGTATAGTAAAGCATAGCTTTAAGGTATTAAACATACTTTAAGGTTTTCCCCTATTTATTTAAAATTTTGTTACATTTTTCTGGTTTTTCTGGTTAAAGAACCAGATAGCTTCACATTATATTCGTTTATTTATACATAATAAGTAAAAAACCTCTCATCACATTCCTCCTTTAAAAAAAAAAAGTAATTCTTCTTCATATTCTCCACGGCTCTGTCTACCTCGGTATGTTACTTTAATTGCTGCTTTACATAAGAATGAAATCCCAGTCTGTTTGCATGAGCTATTTTTAGAGTGCAGCCATGAAAGGCCAGTATTTTAACATATCTGCCTGGCATATGGTATTAGGATAATTACGCTGGTATATCTTCAGTACGTGGGTTTGTGAAATCAAAAATGAGCGCTCAGGCCCCGGGGGCTTCATCGCCCCAGCTAACCCCTGCTCAGTCCCTGTCTTTCTCCGTGTCTGCCGTGTGAGTGACTGTGGCCGTGCGAGTGTTGGCCACCCCCTCCTCAACACACACTCACACACATATCTTGCCATCTGTTGACATGTGCAGCTGTTCAAAAATAGCCCCTCTACCAGAAGCTACCGTAAGTGGCCTGCAGATCAGCAGAGAGGGCTCCTGTCCCACGTCCATGCAGGTTGTTTTGACTCTACAATGACCAAGTGTACTCTAAAATCACTGTAAGATCATTTCTTTTGTTCATTTTTTTAACCCCTCTGTTCATCTGGGGTTTTTGTTCTTTGATCATTTCCTGATCCAGAGTGGCTGCTTGAAGTGCTGCAACCAAAGCTGGAAATGGAGCCCGTTTCTGACCAGTTCACGCAATTCCACCCCATCCATGGTACCAATGTTCGACTGGACCACTCGGGAACCCAGGCCACAAGAGTAGAGAGCTTTGCCAACGGAGTTTGTTTTAGCAAATGCCCCCTGAAGCCTGGAGAGATTTTTCTAATAGAGATTGAAGATAAGGAGCTGGGATGGTGTGGCCACCTCCGGATCGGTCTGACCGCCAGGGACCCCAGGAGCTTAGAGGTGGTACCTGAATACTCCATTCCAAACTTGACAGATTTAGGGGACAGCTGGATATTTGCTATCACGCGCAACCATAACAAGATCGTCGAGGAGGCTGAGGTCATAGAGCCCAGGCAGGGAGAACTGGTCGGGGGACGGAGGCTTGGGCGAAGGGAGGAAGAAGACGGGGCTGGAGATCAGGCAGATGAACGAACGGCCAGGAACAGAAAACCAAAAACTTTCTTCACCGACACCCACTTGTACATCGAGAATGTTCGAATTCCCAGAGATAAGCTGGTTGGTCGGAGCCGGCCCGGGCGCTACAGTCACATTTTAGACGACTTGTATAAAACCAACGCCCTGCCTCCCACAGCCAGACGCAGCAGGATAGGAGTACTGTATGTGCCTAGAGGAGAAGGCCTGGCTGACATGCACATAGTCATTAATGGGGAGGACATGGGAGCTTCTGCAAAGGGAATCTCTACTGCGGGGCCTCTCTATGCTGTGGTGGATGTATTTGCTGCTACCAAGTGTGTTCGGATTGTCCAGGTGGAGTATGGATGTGAGTGTAGGAATGATTTTGAGATAATAGGATGCAAGGCACAGACATTGATTAGCACTAAAAAAAGATACAACACAGCTACAAAGGAGTCATTGTGTACACGCTCCTTTATTAACATCTTTGTGGTCATCTTCACAGTCACTTTGCATTTCTCTGTAGTTATTTAATCTCTTTGTAGTTGTCTGGCATCTCTTTGCAGTCTGTTGTGTCAAGTTTTTGTCATTTTGAGTCTCTGTGTTGTTGTGTGTGTGTCTGCTTATAATTTTTATCTTCTCTTAGTCAGATTATGGCGGTTTTTAGCCTCTTTTGGACTTTTTACATCTCTTTGTGTTCATGTTGTGTCTTGTCGTGATTGTTCTCTGCATCCAAAGGGTCGTCACCTTTTTGTCATGTTGGGCTTCACTATGGTAATTTGACCATCCATCAAATATTAATGACTGTTTAATAATTTCAGTTGTTCAGGCTCAGGGGCAGCTGGGCAGTTTGCATGTTTAGAAATTCTTTAGTGCTTTTTATTCATCTCTTATTTTCTCCATTGCCTATAATCTGCTAAAACACTTTGTATTTTTTGTCATTTTCCTCTTCTCTTTTCTGTCACTCCAGTCTCATCCTTGCAGACACTGTGTAGGAAGGCCATCCAGAAGCACATTGTTCACAGGATGGCCATTGACTGGCTCGAGCTGCCAGAGGCACTCAAACACTACTGCAAGTATGAATGAAGGACACATAGACACGTGGACATCACTTAAGTGCTAGGTCCCATCAAGAATTTGATATTTATTTGGATGACATTTATAAATTATAGCGTCACACTCTTTTCACTTGGAGCTGACATGAATTGTTTGAGATGACAAGATCAAAGTAAAGTAAATTTAAATAGTTTGTTATGTGTCTGTTTGATTGATTAGTTTTAATGTTTGCATCACAGGGATCATCGGTGTGTCACACATCACTGTGTCTGTAATGAATAAAGTTGTTCCAGCTGCAGTGCAGCTGCTTGCAAGCAGAGGGTTAAATTCATGTGATGATCTGGTCACACGGAGTCATTTCCACATTCACGTTCACGTTTCACCCTTTTTTTTTTCTGACTCCATGGATGAACCAGTGTTGTGTCTACACATAATACAGAACTTAGCAAAGAATTCATTTTAAATTGTATGTTTAGACTTTGTCATTAGTAGCCTTTCAGAGGAAAAAAAAACTATGGCAGATAAACAGTAGTTATAAGTAATGTCCTTATGAAGTAGGAGAAATCCAGCAAAGACCCTGTAGCAAGGCACAGGGCCTACTCATAATGAATATGTTGCCCCAACCTAGTTAATTTAACTGCACTTTACTTCAATTTTTTTTTCTTCAATGAGTTTTTGAAGCCACGTCAGAAATGGTCTCAGTGGAAACTTGTCAACAATCTGTTTTTGCCTTATATATTTCCATGTTTGCACAAGTTCCAATAAGATGACTGCAATTATTCCCCAGTTTCCCAGCAAACTAAAAAAAAAAAATATGAAGGGTTGCTTGATACTTTTTGCACTGAACTGTGATTTTCAGATTTCCATATTTCAGAATAACAATCAATATCCTTGTAAAGTTAAAACGAGTCTGGCTGTGGTGGAAAGTTATAATTAAATCAATCTTCTTAGTTCTTCTTCATCTGCCTCCATAACCCTCTGCATGTCCTCCTTCACTACATCCATGAATAAGGCTGTAATTGAATTTTTAAAAAGTATCACGTGGTTCCAATTGAAAATATGATGCTTCATTTCCGGTACGTCATGTTGGTTAATGTTTGCTCAGCCCATCAAACACATAAATTAGAGATAACACATCTGTTTCAGTCCGACATCAGACTCGGAGTAACACGACCGTCACCTGTGCGTCTGCTGTCAGACACTGACATCTAGTGGCCGTGGTAATAACGGCAGTGGGTGGAGCTCCCGTTAAATCCTAAGGCAGGATCACGTCACACGAGAGGAGGGGAAACCGGAGACGTTCCGTAATCGCTCCCAAACGGAGGAAGAAACACCGAGCAAGCTTAGGAGAGAGAATTTTCCCTTCAGCTAATCTATTTAGACCAAATATCATGTCCTTCTGTCAGTTTTTCGGCGGTGAGATCTACAAGGATCATTTTAAACCAGGTGAGCAGCAGGCGGTCCCGTTATTCGGTAAACGGTGATGTGATGTAACCTCCCCTGGACTGTAGTATATAAGTAAGGATGAAAATGAACTTTGAGGCATCATGTGACTGTAAAATTAAGTAAATCCTGTGCAGCATCACAGTGGCAGGATACAGGCTGTACTGTGGCAAAATCCAGCTACATTTATAAAATAAATGTAGCTGGATTTTACCAGGATCACAATAGAATAAAGCTGCTGTAATAGTAAAAACAAAGCAGTGATACAGCTTAAGAATCCAATCAAGTATTTAGCTACAGCTATTAAAGGGTGGTATGTTCAAACGATTTCTTCAGATGTTGTCATGGCACTTGGAGGAATTTTTGTAGCACACAGATTTTAGTTTTTGTTAATGAGCAAACAAACTGTAGAATATGGAGCAATGCTGGAAGGATTTTAGCCCAAAAAAAGTGCAAAAAAACAGCACGATCTCAGCTATTCAGAAAACAAAATAAACCCAGTTCTCTCTAACTACTTAAACATCTTTAGATTATATTGAATGTCTTTTTGCAGGTTGGAAACAAATAAAGGCACCAAAGCTTTTTTTGCATGTCCCCCTGCAGGAGTGTATGTGTGCTCCAAATGTAACCATCCGCTCTTCTCCAGTCGGTCCAAGTTTGCTCACTCGTCTCCCTGGCCGGCTTTCACAGAGACCATCAGGGAGGACAGTGTAACCAAGATGATGGAGACGCTCACCGCCTACAAGGTCCGAGTCACAACCAAGCAAAGTGTGCATTGCAGCAACAAAAATCATAATTACAGTCACCTGTTGGTTCCAACGGGAGGTTTGTGCACTCTGGTGTTGTGTGTACACAGGTCCTGTGCGGCAAGTGTGGCAATGGACTAGGCCACGAGTTTGTAAATGACGGTCCAGAGGAGGGAATATCGCGTTTTTGAATATTCAGCCACTCGCTCAAGTTTGTCCCCAGAAAAGGTAGAGAACTGAGTTTACTGCTGTTTTATAACAAGTTAACCTTGGAAAATCCATGCATGCAGGCAGAAAAGGTCACTTCACCTATATTATAAAACCTGCTTCTTAGCAATAATGCTTTGTTAAGCTGTGAAATGAATACTCCCTGTTAAAAGTTTTAATTGGTAGCTGTTTCTCTTAAAAGCAGAAAATAATAAGCATTGTCCACAATGAGGTCAGTTGGTTCTCTCACATATGAAACAATCCTTTCTTGCAAAAACCACTCACCACTGGTGATTCAGGCTCGATAAGCATTAGGAAAAAGAATCAACTGTACACTTACTTGACAATATAGCTATTAGAAGAATATAGTGGATTTAAAGTACAATATTATTGAATCTGAAATGAACTGAGGTAGCAAATGCTGTTCCGGTTCTCTCGTCTAATAACTCGTGTGTCCTGATGTTGCTCCACAAAGTGCTCGATGTTTGAGATTTGACTGGTAGCTTCCTGTAAGAGTAAATCAGCATTTTTCAGATTTAGCCTCACATGCAATCAAACAACAGCAAGTGTGTTTCTCTTCTCTGTCCAAGGTAAGGACAAGCAGTAAAGAGCGAGTGAAGTGTTTCGTGTCCAGCTGCTGTACCTGCTGCTCGGCTCGAATCCGGCGAACAGGTTGGGTCGGTGGGTGACGTGGATGGGAGAAAGGCCCCGGAGGGACGTCCTGTCCACTGAAGAATCTTTGACCGGGCCTGTGACGCCGAGCTCGGACCGCATCTCTGCAAATATTCCTTTACAAGATGGTTCAAATTTTTTGAACACCTCATATTTAATGTGCATTTAGTCATTTACTCTCCTCAGCTGAAACACGTTGATGTGAGTAGACACACTTGAAAGCAGTTTCACTTCCAAAGGCTGCTGTCTATTTAAAAATATCGACTATGCACCAAAGTCCAGATAGTCTGCCTGCTGTTGTGTTACTTGAAATTCATGCAGTAGCAAACAAATCATGACTCAGCTTTGTTCTTCAGGTTTGCCACATTTACTTAACACTGATTTCTGTTCTCTATATCCTTTACTTATAGCAAGTTTACAATCGAATGCACATCAGTTTAATTTGTCTCCCACTGTTAGTGTTTTGTTGCTTATGCGAAGGAAAAACCAAACAATAAATTATATTTTATAGAGTCCGTCTTTGTCTTTAAAGATGCATTTGCAGCACTTAACATAGCTACATTAGGGATAAACTTGCTTATTTAAATTTACCTTCAAAGTGGTCGAGCTGTCATTCTTTAGATTGAGCTCTAGATGGCGATATTGTCCTTTCACATGACATTCACTGTTTTCCACAAGTGAGGATTCCCTACATTTGCCCCTATATGATGCAAACGGTGTACTGTATGCTTTGGTATACTGCCTACGCGTGTGATTGATGCACAGGCAGAAATCTGTGTGTGTGTTTGTGGGAGTTCTCTGGCATTAATTCCTTCAGCAGGGGCTTAGGCGCTCTCTGAGGCCCAGCTGCAGGCCATATTCTCTGGGTTCCGGGGGTTGGCAAAGACCCTGAGGTTTAGAGGAGTAGCTCGGCCGCCTGGTGAGAGATTGAGGGCTATCATTACAAAGGAAGTAAACATACACCCTCGTGCACACAAAGCTCGACAAACGTGTCAGTCGCCACCCTCTCTCGTCCATGTCACAGACGTGTACTACTTCAAAGAGATGTATTATTTTTTTTCCCACCTAATTGCTGTCACATGCATCGACTCGCTTTCTTTTTTTTCCTATGTGCAAAAACATGGAGCTGTACATGCCAAAACACACACAGAACACACACACTGAACTCCATTTTATTGGTCTCACCACAGACAAGTTAAGTTTAAAGCCTATTTTCTTTCCAAACATCACTTCTTGTAGTGTGCAATTACGAGAGGTCATCATAACATTGGGAGATGTCGATGAACTCTCACCGTCCGCAGCTTGAATATTCAGCTGCAAACATTCCATCCGACTTCACGTGTTCGCGCTGCCAAAGGTATTCGAATGCATTCAGGCCTCAGAGTGGCAGAGAAGCCTGACCTTGCACCGAGGTTGTTACGGCTGAGTGAATTTCCTCTTGTGTTGTCTTGGCAGGCAGACACTCAGCTTATTCTTTCAACATAACTTAGCTTATTTGGTGGATGTTTTTACCCAACATGCCGCACTGCACAGCATTTTTAGCAGAGGTGGTCCCGCTAGGAGTTAAACCCATAACTCTTGGCAGTGGTTGTCATGCTCTGCCTCTGGTATACTGTACAGCCCTGTAGGATAAGGTAAAAGCAGATACATCTAGGGGACTGTGATTACGACATCAGATAGCCGAGATGAAGTCTGTAATTACAGAGAAAGGAGCCCCATGGATCATCTTTGCTGTTATATTCCACGAGGCTGTGACATGTGGTTCATTCCTGTCATGATTGACTTCTTTCTTAGGCACTCTTTGTACCTCAACGAGTCATTCATATTATGCAGAAATTTGCTCGTATTTCCCACAATAGTTTTCCATAAAAATCTTAAGGGACTAACTCTTTCCAGTTTGGTCTGGGCATCATCTTTTTCTTTCTTTATTCATTGTCATCTTTAAACACTAGGTGGCATCAACCACCATAGACATCATCCATTTATGGTTAGTGAAGTACTGTTATGTGTTAGCATTTCAGTGTTTTGGAAGCCTATGTGACGATCTTTGAAAGAAGCTTGCCACACCCTTGCTGACTAACAACTTGTGCTTGAGGAGTCTACCCTTGCTGGCTGTTGAAAAGAA